TACCTAATGGCTACTCATGTTTAATTCATGAGCAAGAGAATTACATTTAAATGTTGTTTGCAAAATGAAGGAAAACACTAAAATAGCAGAAAATACATAACACAGCCTCAAGAAATAAGTGCACCCTGGAAAGGGTGTAGGGTGGGTGGCGAAGACGGAATTTTTTTAATAATAACTTGTTGTTGTTGTTGTTATGTGCTGTCGAGTCGCCTGCGACTCATAGCGACCCTATGTACAACAGCCCTAAACTCCGCTCTGTCCTGCGCCAATCGTACTGTCTCTGATAATAATAACTGAAAATAATAACTTAGTTATGCTGAATTTCCAGTCTAAATTGAGAGGTTATATCTTCATTTTGATCTTATAAAAATCATACTTACATCTTTTAAAAATTGCTGATCAGGATAGAGTATGGTGAAATGAATACATTTAGACTGGGAATTTGCTAGAATGCACTAAACTTTTGGCAAAGAAAAACTTGATCATACACACAAAATACACACATACCTACACACAGATTCATGTTCACTTGACAGCTGCATACTATGCTATTTTGCTCTATTGCCATTAACTATCTATGGTTATTTTGAAAACACATTGAAAAATAAAAGTGATTGGTGCAACTCTTTTGAAGTCTATGTTTGTAAAGTTTCTATTTAAAAATCTTACAAAATAAAATAAGATCAACTCCCAAGTTTGAAGTTTGTGTGTTCCTTACAAAGACTGGGACTTTTTCAGCACTGAGTATTTGGAAGGGATGACAGTTAGCAACTCTGCTACTTCAGATCTTTAAAGATAATGAAAAAAAAGATTTAAGTATGGAAATGAGAGAATGCATTCCAGGCCCTTTGAGATAAAGATCGTTTATCAGAATCAAGGAAATGATAGCAATTTTCCCAGAAAATGACCTTTTTTTCTTAAAAATTAGAGGAAATTAGTTATTGGCATAAAAATAGTGTTCAGTTTATAGTTTAAATGTGATCTCACATCTAACAAGTACATAAGAGATCTACCAGGGCAGTGTTTTCAAGTTATTAGTACTTGTCAAAATAAATATTCTCATACCCTATCCAGAGATTGGGTGGCTGAGACGAAATTACTGTCCTCTTTTAGTAATAATACAAATAGTCCACAAACCACCCTTGGAGAATCATTCTTTCCAACAGCTTTGTTATTGGAGTTGTCCTTATTTGACTACTAATTTTTAAAACTGTCCTTTAACTTGATATTCAAATAGAACATGTTGCTGTTGTTAAGGGACGTCAAGTGGCTTCAACTCATAGCTGCAATAGCTCTGAAACCTGCTCTATCCTGTGCCAACCTCATTGTCTCTAACACCACCCGCCATTACCCTGTCACTGAGTCAACAGGACGCTGTTGTTGTTGTTGTTGTTGTTGTGTACCATTGAGTCAGAATCCTCCAGGGGGGTTTCAGAGGCAGTTAATCAATCCCACAGGAGTAGACTGCCCATTCTCCTGCGGAGCAGCTGGTGGCCTCAAACTGCGTGCGTTGGGGACTGCAGCACAACTCCTTGCTACTAGGCCACCAGAGCTCCATTTTCTCCAACACATATCCACCCCATTACACCAGTCACTGAGTCAACAGGACATAGATAGTAAAATAAAGAAAAATAGTTTTTGAAGGATGGATGGAAATGGGAATCACGGGGTGAGAGTAAGAAGAGAGCTGTTACAACGTGAGCTTGTGATGAACATACTAAAATGTGTTTGAATGATTGACTAGAAAGCCAATTTGGTTTGTAAACTTTCACTCAAAGCAAAAGTTAAAACAACAGAGTTTATTTCCCAGGAAACAAACAAACAAACAAATAAAACCAGGTCAATGGGCTCTCTATAGTCAAAACAACTGGCTATTTTCAGCTGTGTCCCTTTGGGCAATTAAATCTGACTAAACATTAATGCCATTATTAGGGGGGCAGTGAGAAGAATGATAGTGCCTTACAACTTTGGGGTGAATATAATGATAAAATGAATTGCCAATCTTTCAAGTGAATGGTACACTGTAAGCAATTAAGTAGGGATGTTTGTATATGTTTGTGTTGGAACTGACCCATAGTTGACCCTTCTGTGGGTTTTCAGAGGCAATTGCAGGGGCGTATAATTACATGGGGGAAGATTATCTTTCTCTCTCCAAGCTGCTGGTGGATTAGAACCTCATGCCTTCAGGATTGCAGCACAGCTCCTTGCCACTAGGCCACCAGAGCTCTCTAAGCAGTCAAGTAACTATGCATTTTTATTGTGTATGATTAAGGTCATCAGAATCAGTACAGTCACGGAACTTTGGAATTGGAAGAAACTTCATTGCTAATTTATTTGTGACATTAGTTTCTTAACTGGTTCTTAGGAGCTCAGGTTAACCTGCCGGAGAAGCCACTCATTGCTTTGATAATGTTTTAGTGAAGAGGATTCCACAGGAAATTTTATGTTCAAAAAGCCTTTTCTTAATAGAAACAATCCAGTTCCAACTCCTCATTTTAAATATGAGAAACGAAAATGGTAGACAATTTGCCCAAGGTCATACAACAAGAATTAGGGGACAAGTCACACAGCAATAGCTGATATACACATTTACTGGCTTCTTAGAAAAAGATTAAAAATTAAACTGCGTAAAATTATGGCCTGAAACATTTTGTGATTTGTGATTAAGTGGAAATATATAAAATTAAACAACAAGTTTTCTTTCTGAGGGGTTCCTCAAAACTATTTGAAATGTGAGACACTCTTTATTTCCTGGTGAAATATATTCCCAAATACCATACATGGAATTATCATTTCGCATATGGCATAGACAAGGAGAAACTTTAAAAAATAGTTACAAATTCACTCTTAATAGCTATATATTTAAATTAAGATAAAATTCTGATTAATTCTTCATAAGAATTTATTTTTTAAAAGTCATGAAAATATTTATTTGAAAAGAAAACATAATTTCCACATTGTTGATAAAAAGCAGTATCAGTTATACTTGTTTATTCTTGCTAGAGTAGAACCTCTTTCTAAATTATAATGTGTAGGAACTGATATTCTATTAATCCCTGGGACTGAAATTCATCTTCTTCTGAACGAATTACTTTGCTTTTTCTGATGCAGGGTGTTAAACCTGCCTTAATGTTTCTTTGATTACTGAGACACTTGGTATAGGGTAACTTATTGAACCTGAATTCTCATTATACTGTTCTACAGATACAAGAGATAAAACTTGCAAGATTAAAGGGGTTGTACAATTTGATGGGGGTTGGTGTGTGAGGGAATTTGGAGGAATCTGATCTAGAAAACAATGTATTCGAATTTTCTAAGTAAACCAGTATAATTTAAAAAAAAAAACATAAAAAAACGTGTAAGATTATAAAGAAACAAAATAAAGTTAAAAGTTTAAATCCCTAATGTGAGCTTGTTATTATTTGAAGGGATATGTTCTTTATTGATGCTCTTGTTCTTCAAGGTTTAATAATTTGAAGTTGTTACTTGTATTCTGCTTGTTTGTTTCCTAAAAACGGATTAAGAAATAATGAGATGTTTTCATGTTTTAAAATTTAGTTTCTGGAAACATTTGAATAATGTTGGGGGTATCATAATCTGTTTTCAATTATTTTTACAATATTGACAAAATTTATTCTTAAGGGGAAACACCCAAATAGTTTAAATATGAATTAATTCTTTAACTATACAAAACAAAATATAAAGATCAAGACATGAGAACCAGTAATATATATATATATATATATTTTAATATGGTTTGTGTTAATATTCAATTGTTCATGAATTGATTATCTAGAAACACATTTTTATATTCATATGCTAGACAGTTCTCAATTTTCTACTGCTCAATTACAGTTGGAGTTGTTGTTGTTATGTGCCTTTGGGTCAGCATTGACTAGGAGCTGAGCCTCCAGTGGGTTTTTAGAGACTATCAATTGTATGATAGGGGACTGACCACCTTTCTCCTTTAAAGCATCTTGGGGGTCTGAATTGCCTGCCTTTGGCTTTGTAAGTCAATGCCTTATCTACTACTAATCCATCCTAATGGAACTTTAAAAAGTTTAGACCTTTAATTCTGGCTTAAAAACAATTGCATATTCTAAAAGTGAGTATGTTATTTTATTAAAAAATAAAAAAATCAACCCATACTTCTTTAGGATGTCAATTATTGAAAGTTTGTTGGAATAGAGAGATTTTTTTTCTCCAAGGTAAAACAAATTGTTTTGAACGTCTTCTTGGACACATGAACTCATTATGGAGTACAAATATGAATTTAAAATTTCCACTATAAACTATTTCCAATCATATTCTTATTTTAAAAGTAAGATTTATAAAATGTAATTTGATTCCAAAATTTAAAGTGCTAGAAGTTCTTAGTAAAACATGGATAAATATAAAATAAAATTTAGCAACTGATGATAAATCTGACAACTCGAGAGTTTAGTTATTTAATTATAGATAGGTGCCATGGAATTGGGTCTGACTCATCGTGACCCTAAGAACAATAGAATAGAACACTATCTGGTTCTGTTCTGTCTTCACAATACTTGCTGACCGAACCCAATGCTGTAGTCACTGTGTCATCTGATCTTGTTGATGGTCTTCCTATTTTCATTGACTCTCTTCCAAGGTTGATATCTTTTCCCAAGTACTTGTCCCTTTTGATAACATGTCTAAAGGGCATGAGACAAAGTCTTACATTTTTGCTTTTAAGAGCTACACTTCTTTCAAGATGTATGTTTGTTCTTCCGGCAGTCCATGCTATATTCAGTATTCTTTGACAACAACATAATTCAAAAGCATCAGTTCTTCTTTAGATCTAATCCATTAACCAGTTTTTGTATTCATATGAGAAGACGAAAAATACCAATGCTTGAGTCAGACATCTTTGTTTTTTAACACTTTGAAAATTTTTGTTTTTGAAGGAGATTTTCCCAGTCTAATACATCCACTGATTTCTTGACTGCTGCTTCCATGGTATTGATTGTGAATCCAGGTAAAATGAAATCCAGTTACTTAATAGCGTAACCTGAAACAGGAATTTGTTTATGTTCATAATATGTTCCATGATTAAAGGAAGACTAATGTTTCCAGATGTGAAGGTAGGAAGGTTTCACAACTGGGACCCTGGAGAAATACTTCTCTCTGAACATCTCTTCAAGGACATGGACAGAGTGATTACAGTTTTTGTTTTGCATTGCAACAGCGAAATCATAACATAATTTTCTAAGAACTCTTTCCTTGATTCCCCAAGAATGGCAGATTTACAATTAGAAACAATGGAGATTAATAAAAAATATTGTTTATCCAATATGAAGTTTATTGCACAATACATGTGGATAGAATTAATTAATAAAGTTTTTTGTTTTCTCTCTCAATTTATATAAATGATGACAATTAAAATTATCCTATTGTATCTAACCAGAGGACTAATTTTTTTTTTCTCTCTTGAGACTCTTGCTTTCAGTATTTTGAGACCTCTGGGAGAAGAGTGACACATGAAGTATTATTCTTTTGTGTTGGATGAGAATAGCCATTAATTAAGAGAGATGGTGCAAAAATTGTTAACCTGTGTGGCTACTGAAATCTTGAAATCTTAAAAATCCCAGTTTTGGTTTTAGGCTATTAATTCATTAATCTCCACATCTGCTAAGCTGTAAAGAAAGGGAGATGTAGTTAAGATTCCAGCATCTTCTTTTCTCTTGATTATAATTTCATATACTTAAACTTTAAATATGAATTGCTTTCCCTTTTTACACAAGTTATAAAAATAAGAGGCCCTGTTTACACAGTTTGCATTTTTATGAAATTTGCAGTTGAAAAAAAAGCGTTTTAAAAAGTGGTAATGCTTCTCTTTGAATATGCTGTAACCTTAGAATTTTTTTTCTGAAAGTTTCTGAATTTAAACCCACTAAACATTTGAAGATAGAAGTTTTATTTAGCACTAGAGTAAGACATACTAAGGACTGAATAAAATGTTAAGATTTTGTTTTCTGGTTCCACTTAATTTTCTTTGTATGTGGCACCCCCTTTATGACAACTATCAATATTATATTTAAATTTTATATATTGACAAAATGCAATCTACCTCTGTAAGCATTGTGCCATTCAACAGTACTACGATTAAATTTACATACCACAGTTTAAATTACATCCATTTCAGGAATGGTAAAATGCTAAAACTCAAGTATCTAACTGTCTTACTGGAATGAGTACAATTTACAAATACAATAATTACATTTTAAAACCATTAACAATATTACACCTAGAAGTAAATACTGTATGACTGGTTGTCATGGTATTGGATGAGGGAAACCATTGCTGAAAGTCTTTCATGTTTCCAGCAGCTATATCCCAAGTGCAGAATTTGGTTTGTTTTCATCAAACCAAAAGGAAAACCTGGTTCTTATATGACAGTCCTCTGTTACAGGAATCTTCTGAATCTTTGCATAACATTTTATTAGTTATCTGCCAAGTACTTTCCTGCAAAACACAATGGCATATTCACAAGTTAATCTGTCAATTCAATAATGCAATTAGTATATGTGACAAATCTATTCCCCCATCTTACCCCTGGAAGCCAAATACTGTTTACTTATGCAGAATAATACACATATAAATAACATAAAGTTTTAAAAATTTTCAACTCACATTGAATAGTTTGTAGATGTTTGAGTTTTGGCTAGAATAGGTTGGGTGATACAGTCCCGAACATGAGACCCCAAGTTGATACACAAGGGATGATTATATTATATGACCAATTTTGGAAAGTGAAAATAATATTACTAATAATTACACTAGTGTAATACGTTTACACTCCAGGAATTATCCCAACAAATAACCACAAAGATAAATACAGAGTACTGAGAGATGTGGAGAAATCTGGATTTGTTCGTGCTTTATTCCCAGAAAGAAAACTAGAAGTTTCTGGTTTTGTTCTTTCTCCTTCCTAAATTTTTGAAAGTTACAACTTTATTGTGTGCACTTGTTTAGGTTGATTTATGACCTCTGGAAATCCACTGAGAGGTCAGATACAAGTGTGTTCCAATTTGATAGTACTAAGTTTGAGTTTATTTATTCTTACTGAAAAACAGCTAAGGTATCATTATCTTTGCAAATGAAATCAACAAGATATCTCACTCACTTACCTGCAGCAAATCTTTTCTTGATGAGTGAAAATCGATATCCTGCTCCAACTAGTTCAATATCACAGCCAGAAAGGGTGCTTCCTTCACTTGTGAACTGCACAACCAATGGGGAAGGTTTGCTTGGACCATCAGATAACTGGAACCTCGCCAACAAAGAACCTACTCCTAAAAGGGAACATTGTGACAAGATGACAGTTAAAAAGATGCTCCTGAATTGAACGTGGATTTTTTATTCAAATGTTAACTCACAAGATCTAACAGAAATAATATATGTTTTACTATAAAAATGGTGATGAGTAAAAATTACCATTAAATATCACCAAGAGGCAGTCGTCAGAACAGAGCAGGGAAACACTGCATGGTTCAAAATTGGGAAGGGCATACGGCAGGGATGTGTCCTGTCTGTCTCCATACCTTTTCAACCTGTATGCAGAACAGATTATTCAGGAGGCTGGGCTCTATGAGGAGAAATGTGATGTCAAGATTGGTGGAAGATCTATCAACAATCTGTGTTATGCAGATGACACAACCCTGCTTGCTGAAACTGAGGAAGACCTGAAGCACTTGCTGCAGAGGGTCAAGGACTGCAGCCTTCAATATGGATTGAGGCTCAATGTCAAGAAGACAAAGATTATCACCACTGGACCAACTGGCAGCATCAGTATGGATGGTGAAGAGATTGAAATTGAGATTGTTCACAGCTTTAGTTTGCTTGGCTCCACAGTCAACACTCTTGGCACCAGTAGCCAGGAAACTAAAAGATGTATTGCCATGGGAAAGTCTGCTGTTAGGGACCTCTCCAAAGTACTGAAGAGCAATGGTGTCTCTCTGGAGACTAAGGTGCATCTAATACAGGCCATAGTCTTTGCTATCACTTGTTATGCATCAGAGAGTTGGACAGCGACTAAGAAGGATAGAAGGAGAATTGATGCCTTTGGGCTATGGTACTGGAGAAGAGTATTGAGGGTATGATGGGCTGCTAGGAAAATAGATTCATCCTGGAAAGGGTTAAACTGGGCTGCTCCTTGGAGGGAAGGATTCTGAGGCTTCTTCTAATATACTTTGGACATGCTGTAAGGAGGGACTGATCCTTGAAGAGGGGCATCATGCTTGGAAGGGTGGAGGGACAGTGCAGGAGGGGAAGGCCCTCTATGAGGTGGATTGATTCAGTGACTGGGGCAATCAGGATGGGTGTATCGGAGACAGTGTGATTGCACAGGACAGAGCAGAGTTTAGAGCTGTTATACATAGGGTTGCTATGAGTTGCAAGCGACTTGATGGCACATAACAATAACAACAACATTATGAAGTATGAACAACTTTTGTTTTGTACGCCGCCCAAGTGTAATTCAGCAAGATGTTACATCAAAATGTGTGAGGAAGGTCCTATAATGGCCAGTTAAGTTCCAGCAAATAATTATTATCCTAGGAATGTGAAATGAGGTACAGGATCTATATAGGATAAATCACCTTATTAAAGACTCTTTTCTGCATAAAGGATGACATGTTGGGTATGGAGTGCTGAGAATGGATAGAAAATAAAGACGTAATGATTCAGATTTGGAGGTTTCACTGACAAATTATTTACTTGTGTTAACTGAAATTAGTAAATGTAAAAATGAAGTTAAATATTTTACTCCTTTGTAGTGATTAAGTGTATTTTGTTTAGTATTGGCTAGTAACTAAAGGTGACTTGATCTTTCCATTCTACATAAGACTGGGTTTGTGACAACATTACCTCCATTTTCAGACTTCTGAGAGATATCAGGAATCTTCCACAATATCCTCTGCTGTTCAGCATTCCTAAAAAAGAAAATGAAGGATAAAAAGAAAACAAAGGAGTTTTGCATGAAAACAAAAACGTAAGAATTTTTGCTTAATGGATGCTAGATATATTGTACGGATAGTAGTATAAAAAATTGATCTTGAAAATTTTACTACAATTAAAAAAATACAAATTTAAATAAATAAAAAGATAAATGAAAAATATATTTATTCATTCTAAATTTATATAATATAATTATATCCCTTGCCTTTCTTTATTGCAACTAGCCACACAATGGTGGATGAACATTAAAAAATATAGCGTATTTTAAAAAAATCTACTTTGGCATATTCTGACCAATAATATTGAAACAATAGATGGAAAGTACTAGAAAATTGACTCAAGTAACTTAAATTGGGATTATGACACATGGATGATGTGCATTTGTTAAAATCCTCTATTTTTTACTTGTGACAATTTTATGTGAAAACCAGTGTGTTCTCTGAGAACAAATGTTTTTAAAAGATTATAGATGCAACTGGTACTCTGTACCTTCCTTCTCTAATGTGCTTTTTTATAGTACTATGATTAGAAAAAAACCCCAATTTTCTGTTCTAGGCTCCCTTGCAGTTAGATCCCTACATACAAAGTCAAGTCAACTCAATTAATTGTCGTTGAGTTGGGCCCTACTCATAGCTGACCCTCAGATGGGTTTCCAAGGCTGTAAATAATGTGGAAGGAGACTGCCAATCTTTGTCCCACAGAATGGCTGGTGGATTTGAACAGCTGAAGTGTGGCCTTTGTGTTAGTAGTGCAACTCCTATGGGCTATGCCACCAAAGATATTTGGGTTCCATTAATGCTCTGGTGGCCTAGTAGCAGGAAGCTGCACTGCAATTTCAAAGGCACATGGCTCGAATCCACTAGCTGTCATGGGTGGGAGGATGAGCAATCTCCCTCCGTGCAATGAACTGCCTCTGAAACCCCACCAGAGGGTCGGTTGCTTGAGATTTAAAGATGGAAAGAAGCAGAGGTTATTTTCCTAGAGGTTTTTCTCTGCTGATCTAGTTGGTATGTGGGATTTTCTATACCAGTGCTCCAGTTCCGTGCACGCTGCAGTTTTATGAGTGCTGAGAAGCAGTTAAGGAGGTGCCAGGAGGTGCTTTCTTATCCTGAGGTCACGGTTACAGTGTTTGGCTCTTGAATTAAATGTTTCCACTGGCAGCTTTCTCATTTCTCTCCTTCCTGGCAGTGTTGGAGGCAGCAGCTCTCGTGGTGAACCACTTCTGTGGTGTTATGGAAATATTCCAGAAGATCCAGCTGAAAGCCTCCTCCTCAAGTACTTCCACTAGGTTTGCAAGCATCTAAGTCTCTATGTTAAATCATTTGCTGCTTGAAATAACTATAGCGGATTCTGCTTCCTGCCCTGAACCCTGACACACAGGAGTGCTGTGATTTCTTCTAAGAAGACAGGGATGTCTTTGATGACAAGAATGGGGTAACCGTGGTGTCTCCTTACCAGACTGCTGGAGGGAGCACAGCCTGAAGCTTGGTGACTCCTCCATCTATGGGGACCAGAAACTGCACGTTGTTGAGGGCCACAGCCGTCGTCATCGCATCTGTATTGTATTTGTAATCTATCCGTAGGTCTGTGCTGGCAGGCTCGCAGCGCCAGTTCACTGCCAGGTTCAGAGGTGTGGACTGAATACCCTGGGCAGATACCTTGTCAAATGATAGGAAAGAGAATATAGAAACCTGGATCATTAATTAGAAACAAACTAAAAAATCTATCTTGATAGGAAAGTTCTTAGACATCACATATTTCATAATGTTGTATATTCTGCTTTACAAAGGGGCTCTCAGTAAAAATCACTTGGAAGAGAACTATAAGAGAGATGATAGTTTAAGGAAAAGTGTTATGGATTAAAAACATGAAGCAATTAAAATGTCTATGGCATTTTACAGTGAACCTTACATCAATGAGGGAGGTGGAAGAGCACAGTGGTTAGGAGCTGAGGTTCTGGAGCTAGGGGTGGAGCTCTGTGTTGGACAAGTCACTGCCGAGCCTCAATTATATCCTTCTTTTCCAACAGCGCACCATCATAATGATATTTAGCCATGCAGCTGTCATAAAATCTAAAGGAGATATTTTATGCAAAATATGCAGAACAGTGTGTAACACATGGCAAGCAACCTACTTTACTATGACTTGGAAGTGACTTGTTAACAATAGACTCAGTTTCTGCTTTGTTAATATTGTTAAAGGTTCTTAGATGACACTAATGGTTAAGCACTGCACTACTAACAAAAGTTTGGTTGTTGAGCTCACTCAGAGGGGCACTGGAAGAAAGGCTTGGCCATCTGCTAACAAAAGGTCCTATCCACCCCTCTCATGGAATCAGTCCTGTCTGGTGGGTTTCCTAGGGTGTAAGTCACATGGGAGAAGACTGCCCATCTTTCTCCCTTGGAGTAAGTGGTAGCTTGGGAGTGTCAATGTATTGGTAAGCACAATACACTGCACAGCCCCCTAACCAGAGCTCCTTTCCTAAAGGTCAGAGATGTGAAAACCCCATGCAGCATGGTTCTGAGCTAAAACATGGTTTTGCTGTGAGTTGGAATTGACTTGACAATAATTGGAACAGTAACATTATTACTGTATTTGTCCATTACAGCAAAGCAAGGAATTAGACAAAGTTGGCTATTGATATTTGCCCAAGTAAGGATTTAAGCCAGGGTTATATCTAGAAATGCTATATTTTACTGGCTATAGAACTTTATACAATCAATGATTTATTCATTGCAAATAAATTTTATAAAAAATGCAAATGGCTACTATGCAAAAAGACCACACCTCACCTGATGGTATACACAAGAATCAGAAAGATTATATCTGTGGAAAAATCATTAGAGAAGCTCAGTATCTGCTGTGAAAGCTAAGCCAGGTGCCTATTGTGGAACAGAGCATCAACTATTAAAATACAAGTTCAAGCTGAAGCTAAAGAAAATCAAATCAAATCCACAAGAACCAAAATTTGACCTGAAGTCTATCTGGTATTAACTTAATAACCATCTCAAGAACAGGGTTGAGGCTTTGGACATTAATGAATGAAGACTAGATGAGCTGTGGGAGGATATCATCAATGAAGAATGAAAAACATCATTCATTACAAAGACTGAGGAGGTAGAAAAGAATGACTTGGATGTCAGTAGAAACTCTGAGTATTGTACTAGATCACCAAGAAGCCAAAAGCAAAAGGAAGAAATCAAGAAGTCAAGGAGATGAACAGAAGATATCAAAACACAGCCTTTCAAGACAAAGCTAAGTATTATAATGAAATGTGCAAAAAGCTGGAGTGAGAGAATCAAAAGGGAACTACTTGCTTGGCATTTCTTAAGCTGAAGGAACTGAAGAACAAATTAAAGCAGTAGTTGCAATTCTTAAAGATGCTACTAGCAGAATATTGAATGATCTGGGATGCATAAAAAAAAAGATAGAAGAAGCACACAGAGTCATTATACTAAAAAAAAAATTGGATGATACAGAAGAATTACATGAAACCACACATGACAAAGAGGCAATGGTTATGAAGAAGGAAGTTCAAGCTTCTCTGAAGGAATTGGCAGAAAACAAGGCCCCAAGAATTGATGGAATACCAATTAACATATTTCAACAAACAGACACTGCCTTGGATATGGTCATCAACTTGTACCCGGAAATCTGGAGGACAGTTGCCTAACCAACTAACTAGCAGAGTTCCATATTTATTCTCATTTCAAAAAAAGATGACCTGACAGAGTGTTAAAATTATCAAAAAATATCACTGATATCACATGCAAGCAAAATCCTGAAGATTATCCAAAAATGACTGAAACAATACATTGACAGAGAACTACCATAAATACAAGCTGGGTTTAGAAGAGGCCAGGGTGCTAGGGACATCTTAGCTGAAAGCAGAGAGTACTAGAGGAATGTCTATCTGTGTACCTTTGACTATGCAAAGGCATTTGATTGTGTGTATCACAATAAACAGTGGCTAATCTTGGGAAGAATGGGAACCCCAGAACACTTAATTGTGCTTATTTAAAACCTATACTTGGACCAGGAAGCAGTTGTCAGAACCGTACAAGGAAACACAGCATGGTTCAAAATGAGGAAAGGAGAGTCTCCATACTTTTTCAATATATATGTAGAACAGGTCATTTGGTAGGGTGGACTTTATGAGGAGGAATGTGCATCAGGATTGGAGGAAGACTCATCAACAACCTGCATTATGCCATCTGGCAACCTTGCTTGCCGAGACCTGAAGGAGGACCTGAAGCATTTGCTGCAAAAGATCAAGGATGGCAGTCACCAACACAGATTGAAGCTCAACATCAAGAAGACAATAATTCTCACCACTGGGCCAATTGGTAGCATCATGATAGACAGAGTATAGATTGAGATCGTTAACAATTTTAACTTGCTTCATTCCACAATCAACACTCTTTGGCACTAGCAGTAAGGAATTATAAAGATGAGTTTCATTGAGAAAATCTGCTGTTAGAAACCTCTCCAAAGTATTGAAGAGCAAGGATGTCAGTCTGAAGGCTAAGCTGCATCTGATCCAAGCCATGATCATTGCAATTACTTGCTATGCATCAGAGAGTAGGACAATGACTAAGGATGACAGAAGAAGAATTGATGCCTTTGAGTTATGGTGCTGGAGAAGAGTATTAGAACATGCCATGGACTACAAAGAGAACTACCAGCTCTGTCCTGGAAAGGACAAAACCAAGTTTCTTCCTGGAAACAAAGATTTTGGAGCTCTGTCTCACATACTTTGCCAAGACGGACTGGTCCCTGGAGAAGGACATCATGCTTGGAAGAGCGGAGGAATGGCTCAGGAGAAACAGCCCCTGGATGAGATGGATTGACACAGTGTCTGGGGTAAAGGGGTCAGGTGTGTCAGAGACAGTGAGATTGGCTCAGGATAGGGCAAGGTTCTGAGCTATTGTATATAGGGTTGCTATGAGTGACAAGTGACTGGATGGCACATAATAACAACACTACTATCTTGGAAATTTATTATTCTGCTTAGAATAAAAAGTAGCTTGAAGGTTGTATTTAGAATTGATAGTGAATTTTACCAAGAAAAAGTCAGGTTTAAAGAATCAACAGAAACTGACTTCATGGAAAGATATTATCAGTCAGAATTCTGGGCATCATAGAGAAAATATGACAATGCTGTAACTGCTCAATCAATAATTATGAGTGAAAACTGATCTGGAGGAGAATCACAAGCATACACAGACACAGACACAGACACACACTGCAGGGCTGTGTGGGCAGCATTCTTGTCCTTGGGTTTTAATCAAGGATATAAGGTTTGCTGATTTTGAAGAATATAAATATCTACTGGCCTAGAAATACCTGCACATACGGACACCACAGGGAAGGGTCCTGAGGGCAGGTTGAACTCATAGGGCAGGAGAGGCTGATACAGAAGGAAGCTTAGGAATGGGTTATTTATGTTGCTGTTCTTATAATGGAATTGACTTAGAGTTGACCCTGCAGTGGGTTTCTGTTATTATGGGAGGAGACTGCCCATTTCTCTTTTATAAAATAGGTGTTTTTGAACTGCCTGTCTTTGGATTGGCAGTTCAACTCTTTGTTGTTGTTATCACGGATTGTCTTAAAGTCAAGCACAACTCCTAATGACCCTATGGACAAAAGGCTTGAAGCCCCTCTACAACTGTCGACATTTATCTAAGTTCCTGTCCACTTCCTAAATAACATGACTCCAGAAACCCTATGATCAACGCTTTACTAGTTAGATTACCAGAGCTCCCAAAATATTTCCAGATAATTTAAAATTAATAAATCCAAAACTTCACTGCCATCAAATCAGTTATAACTCATTGTAGGACAGGGTAGAAATGTCCCTTAGGCTGCAAGTCCCTTCCAAGGCTGTAAGTCTTTATGGCAGCAGCAGAAGTAGCTGGTGAATTTGAACTATCAATCTTTTGGTTAGTAGTCCAGTGTTTAACCAATTACACTTCCAGAACTGCTAAACTAATAATACATATAAATTTTCTAGTCACTAAGCTTCATAGACTCACTATGACTATTAGCTGACTTCATAGCACACAACAATAACAACAACCTTCAGTTAGTTATTTAAGCTTTTAATATTCATTTAATTTACAAGGGAACTCAGGAGGCAAAAGTTTGTAAGGAATTATTCTGCTAAATCCAAGGCTTTGTAGTTCAGTCTACCAGTAGCTCAAAGGGAAAATGCTGAACACTCTCCTTCCATGCAATTTACATGCTTGGAAACCCAAGAGAGGGTCAACAACGAGTCAGTTTCAACTCCTTAACATTGAGAATTATAAATTATGAACTTTAAATACAGTTATGTGTTGTATAACATTTGTTCAAATAATATTATGAGTGCATTTATGTTCTTGGTTCTAAAAGATTACAACAGAGTTCAGAAATATGCATTAAAACTGCCAGGAAATAGCCTATCATTACTGTTGAGTTAGAACCTCCAGTAGGTTTGCAGAGGTTGTAAACTGGACAGGCAGAGATTGTCTATCTTCTCCGGCAGAGAAGCTGGTGGATTTGAGCCACATGACTTTGGGTTATCAGTACAACATCAAATTCACTAGGCCACCAAATCCTTCTAGGAGAACAGAATATAGTGGCTGTAACTGCAAAGCAGTACCGGTCTGCTTTTATGAATCACTGTATTTACCTCACATTTTTAATCTAAACAGCCTTTGGGAGGCTGATTTGTTAACTATAGTCTGCATCCACACTGGGCATTCACAGCATAGGGGACTGTGTAATACAGAGTTTACAAAACACCCAAACCATATGCTGTCCTATTTTATAGAACCTATTAAGGATATTAAGCAATGCATGACTATAATATCAATGTTACTTTACTTCTGTTTCTATTGTTATACTTTCAAACATAAATTTGTAATGTAAGAACCTGATCATATCAATACGCTTACCTGATATTTGAGCATGTCCACATTATAATAAGTAGCTTGGGGTTTTTGTTCAGATACTTTCTTTAGATGAGTCATCAAATTTGGCATATTTACCCAGAATTCCTTGTTATTGGCATCACTTTGGGTATTATCACTATTCAATTGGGAAGAAAAAAAAGTTTAAGTAGCATCTTAGAACAAATAAAACAAACTAAATAAGAAGCAAATGGTTATCTAAAGTCAATATCCATCTTTGACAATTCTTACAGAGATTATTTTATTAAAAGTAACGTGGTTTCAGTATAAATACAATTCTGAATGGCATTATGCCACGTTAATAGATTAATACCAATAGGGAGCTATTGTACTGTTATAAATCTCAGTGAGTACACACTTAATTAACCAATCATGATGATAATTGGTTGCTTTAAAGAGTGATTTATTAACCCAAACTTAATAGTCTTTATACATCATCAAATGTTTCTTCTGAATTAGTTAATGCAATTAAAGAGCCAAGAACATTGATATTCTTTTTAATGGAATTGACTAGTAGATTTGTAAAAGTTGCAGAGTTACATACTTTGACCAAATGAAAACATCTGACGCAACCATTAACTAATGAGAAAAAGACAATCTTAAAATTACTATGGAGCTCTGGTGGCCTAATGGCAAGGAGCTGTGCTGCAATACCCAAGGCACACGTTTCAAGGCCACCAGCTACTCCGCAGGAGAAGGATGGGTAATCTCTTCCTGTGCACTTAAACCACCTCTGAAAACCTTCTGGAGGGTCAGCTATGCGTCAGTTCAGACACTATGGTACACAACAACAACAACACACTGTCTTTTGAACATTGTTGTTGTTAGGTGCTGTCAAGTCAAGGATTACTCAGAGAGACCCTATGAACAGTCATTCTGAAACCTGCCCTCTTCTATGCCATCCTCCTCACTGCCGAGACACTAGAGGCCATTGCTGAAGTCACAGTGTCAATCCATCTCATTGAGGGTCTTCCTTTCCTCCTCTGCCCCTCCATCTTACCAGTCATGGTGTCTCTTTCTAAGGAATAGTCTCACCTAGCTACATGTCTAAAGTATCAAAAAGGAAGCTTGGTCATTCTTGCATCCAGGGAACACTCTGGCTGCACCCTTTCCAGGATGTATTTTTTTGGAGGTATTTTTGGCATTCATGAGATATTCAGTACTCTTTTCTAACACCACAACTATAAAGCATAGACAATATTAAATACAATATAGAGAAATCTTAGAAAGGCACTTCATTTAGAAGGTGATCCTGGAATTTAAATGATGATGATGATGATGATGATGATAATAATAATAATAATAATAATAATTAGTAATAACAATGGTAATTATCATAGGGAAATAGAGCAAATTCTTGCACCAAAGAGTCACATTACTAGGAGAATCATCTGTTTTGCTCAAAGGCCTATCCACAGACTCTTACAGTCCATCTTGTAAATGCTTGTCCTTAGTGTCAAAAGCATTGAGAAGACAGAGTACAAAGCATCTGCTCACTTCCTACATAATGAGGAAACTGATTAAGTAATTTGATAACTATTTACTCATGTTTTATTTTCAGAATATCCTATATAATCCAATAGTTGTTATGGATTTGTGCTAAAAATAGAACATACCACAGACATCTACTTATGTTTTATCGACTATGAAAAGACACTGGATTGTGTGTATTTTAATATTATGGATAACATTGAGAAGAATCTCAGAATAGTTAACTGTGTTAATGTAGAACCTGCACATAGATCAAGAAGCAGGCACCAAAATAGAGCAAGGAGATACTGTAGGGAATCAGAAAATCATCGGAGAAGCTGGATTATGTGAAGAACAATGTAGCATCAAGATTAGAGGAAGACTCATCAACAACCTGTGCCACACAGATGACACAACCTTCTTAGATAAAAGTGAAGATGGGATGAAGCACTTACTGATAAGCCTGAATGATTATTATTGACGTCAGTGTTTATTATACTTCAGCAATAATAGACATCCTCACAACTAGATCCCCTAAGCAACCTCCTGATAAGTGGCCAAAAGACTGAAGTTGAAAAGAATTCAACTTTACAAGACTCCACGATCAACACCCATGTAAGTAACAGTGAAGAAATCAAAGGCTGTGCTGCATTGTGTAAATCTGCTGTCAAGAACCTCTTTAAAGTGTTAAGGAGGGATGATTTCTATTTAAAGACTAAGGTGCACCTGACTCAGATAGGGTATTTTCAATTGCTCCACATGCATGTGCAAACTGGACAATGAATAAGCAAGACCAAAGAGGAATTGATGTCTTTGAATTACGAAGTTGGAGAAGAGTACTGAATATTTCATGGTCTGCCAAAAGAACAAAAAAAATTAGCTTGGGGGAAGTCCAACCAGAAGACTTCTTAGAGGGAAGAATGGTGAGGCTCTGCCTTACATTCTTTGGATGTGCAGTCAGGAGGGGCTAGTCCTTGTAAAAGGCCATCATGCTTTGAAAAGTAAAGGGTTGGTAGGGGAGAGGGAGATCATGAAGAAGATAGAGTGACATAGTGACTCCACAATGGGCTTAAGCACAGCATAGATTGTATAGATGGTGCAGAATTGGGTAAGATTCCAATCTGTCACACAAGGGTTGCTGTAAGTCAGAGTTGATGTGATGGCACTTCACAGCTACAAGAAATACTTTCTGCTGAGTGAGGTATCTCAGTCACAAAGGGACAAATGCTATATGGTGCCACTGTTGTAGAATGAGGCTGGCATTGG